GAGGGGGAGGGGGGATGGGGGCACCCGATTTTTTGACACGGTATATATTAATTTACTAAGTCCCCACTGGCGCACTCGCTCTACAAGATTTTCTCGCATTTTCCTTCTGTCTAGACGTATAATGAAAGTTTTTTTATCTATTTTATTAGGGAGCCATTATGTGAAGTTTAGACCCAATGGCAGGTGCAAAGTTAATATGGAAATAAGCTTGCTCACGACTTCTCCGTGAATAATTACCTTAGCTAGTTTAGTTTAGTATAAAAGCCAATAATTATTTAACATTGCAAACGTCACAGGGAAAAAAATACGTAAAAATATGAGGTTTTTCTTTTGTCTAGCTTCTATTTTGGAATTCATTTTGGTGTTTCATTAACTTTTTTTTCCTTCAAAGAAAACAAACATAAAAGTCAAATTTTGACTGATATTGTTCGCGAATGAATAATTGATCAGACATTTCAAAATTCACGACTATTCTAACAATAACGGTTAAAAATTCTAAAAAACTACCTCCTTTATGAAAATATCAATTTGCTATACATACAAACTCTTCATGTTTACACATTATACAAATAATATATCTGGCCGGTGAGTTGGGGTGGTAATCTTGTTTATTGTACACACAAAATGATCACTTAGTGAATTTTTTTACTCATAAGTGCTACAAAAAAATAATATAAAATAATCGAAGTTGGACGCGCCGCTTTAGCAAATATAAACGCTGCCGGTGCGGAAGTGCAAGTGATGAGGCAAAAGTACGTCCTGTCGTGTTTTTGGCGGCTTTCGACAAGGAGTAACCACTCCCACGATTTACCCTACAGAGTAGAATAAAAGTATCGCTAATTATAGTTGGAAAAGTGTGGATGATTTTAGTTTCATTTCTTGCATACGGCTCCCTACCAAGATACATATAAATATCCTATATATTCCATTTTGCTGTGTAGTCTAACGAAATAGACTTTTTTAAAGCCAATCCTTGACCTATGGCATTGTTTTGCACCAAATGACAAAATTAAATCTGAAAGTTGGTCTGACATCATTCTATCAGTCTAACACGAACTCCATGAAAAATAGGCTAAATCTAACTAGTCAAAAGCTAAACTTCCTTCCCTCGTTGAAAGTACGATGCCTGGTAAAAAAGGAAAGCGAGGTTTTCCTTACGGCTCGAGTAATATATATGAGCTTTTAGTATTTTTTGCCCAATTCATTACATACATCTTACACCTGCAGACATTACCTATATGACGTCACAAGTTAAACATCAACACCTCTCTGGATCTAGTGCGCATGTTCTTCTTGCTTTATACTATCTGTATCTCCCTGCATTTTGGCCCTATTGAATGTTTGATTTGTTAGCAATGAATTGATATTTTCCAGCAAGACGGCCTTTCTTCGTGTGTAAAGATATTTCCTAGTTCATWTAGGGATCGTTGTGGTTTGATATTTATAGGCTTTGTGGCACGATTGTCCTGTACATTATTAAGCCGCGCTTAAACTCCGAGGTGATTTCGGTTCACTTTGCTCGTTGGTCTTTCTCTTGAAACGGYTCCAGTTTATCACTATTTGGATGCAAAGAACTAACTGTTCTGAAAATGGAAAGTAAGGATAAGGAGAATCCGTCGGAAGAGGCTGCAAAACGAACTGGTACTCGGTAAGGCTAGCAAAATGCAATAAMAGTGTTGTGTTTATTTTACTGATGATCGGCACAAAGTGGCGCATTCAAGACTAAGAATRTATGAGATACAATATCTCGATCTTGTGGCGTTGTTTTTACTGTACAAAGCCAATTTTTCAAGCCCTGGCTTATCGAAAGCTTGCATCGAATTTATGTTTAATCTATTGTATAATATTTGTGTGGACCGACTAGATTTGTAAATGAATTGGGGATTCACGCATTACTTACCTAATTTCGCTAAATGGCTCTTCTTTCCTTGCAGTGTTTTTAAAAAGACATCCCCAAGCGGCAAGGTAAGCCTTTCGTTTCCTGCTTATATTTCTTCTACAGGAATATTATTCAAGTAGAGTCTTAGGGTGTTGGCATCAGATCGCAAGCTTGTGTCGATTTTTATCCCTCACTTCCTTTCGTTTCTCGTTTGAATGACTTTGCGAGGCCCTACATCAATACTAAAAGTGCAAGCTAAAAATCCAATCATTTTTGTCGTTGGCCCACATTTTAAATTTTCATCAAGATAGCTTTAAGTGTATATATTTATATGTGTGTGTTTATAAGCACCTGCACGTGCAAAATAGGGTTCTTTTTGAACGATTGTTGTTGTGTCTGCGTTCACGAATTCTTTATGTTATATTTTTTCATTTTTAATGCTAAGATTTGCCAAGCGCCTAGCTACGAGGTTCGATCATTTTCCATCATGTTTAGCGCCAAATCCCATAACATCTTTCCCCAATATTGTGCCAATGATCTGGCGACCTCTGTATCCTACACCCGCCAAAATATTTCCTTAAATGTGGCTGGTATGAAATCTTTTGTCTCATAAAGCTTCTTATATTTCAAGTCTTGTGTACAAGCTTGTTTTATAAGCTATTATCATTCGTCCCAAGGGGCTATACCGATATGGAAATGTTATGCAAATTTCTGGTCCACCCATCATGAATGTGCAAAATCCATAATTATTACCCTTAGATGTATATCATTTGGAATTGCTTGATTTTTTAAAAAAATTCGACCTCTTTTCGCTCTTATTTATATTTCTCGTTATTGTGCATTTTTTGYTAATTYTCTGCCWGCCTTTTCAAGTGGTCTTTGTTMTYTRTTTCTGTGGCGGTGGGGATATGGAAAATACCTCCCTCRCTAAAAAATGAAATTTAAATTTCACTTGATTTTCAATCATTACAGAAACCAACACCAAATTTTTTCATTATCAAAGAAAGGACTCAAAATGTAAATATATTACTTTTTATCTCCCAAAGTGCATACTGTATGTGAAGAAAATAATTATTCTAATTGACTTGGCACAAATATTTTTTATATCTTACAAATTTTACTTTTAACGTTGTCATAGGAATAAGTCATAGTATCTTGAGTACTATCTTGAAATATGCCTTCACAAATTGGAGAATTATTCCATATCAAGTAAGCTATATATAACTCTTCTGTTATCCATAATGTGAAGATCTTTATTTTGCCTTGAAGGTCTTTGGAATTCACCTTAGTTTGAGATAAGCAAAAAAATTATAAAATTTTGTATCAGATATGAACTTTTTATCAGATTCCTTTCTACATTAATAATTTGTCGTGTTTAATTTTTCAATGAATTTGTATTTTTTATTTATTAGATTATTGACATTTTGATGTATTATATACCAGTGTGAAAATAAGCTGTGATAATGGTAGGAATCGATTTAAACTATAAACTGAATATTTTTTTTACTTGATGTAAGAGAAGCTCATTATTTATATCTGAGTTTGACGACAATTAATTATCTTAGCCTTATTAATATACAGTAAAAAAGTTGTTTTYCTTTGGAATGAAAAATATGGGATGCAATAGTCTCATCCTGGTTGAGTGATGAAGCACAAACTAATCTAAGTCAAGGCTTTAGGGAAACAAAACAAAAGTTATGATTACATTGTTGTTTTCCCAGATCCTCGACTTGAATTGGGTATTTGAATTTTAAAATGTTTATTTGTGTGGAGAAGGAAAAATATGAGAATAACAACCCAGAGAAAAAATAATACTTTCAAGATGCAGGAAGACTACAAACAAGCAGCTTTCACTCTGAAATTGTACTTAGCATAATATTTATTTAAATAGTGAAATGTGGCTGATATCATAGCTATATTCAGTTCATATTTGGTGGGTATAAATTTTGGGATTATTATTATTTTTAAGGTAACTCACACGTAAAGCTGAATAATTTATACCCTTTTCTATATTATGGGACTTTTGAAAAATAGTTATTACTAACCTTAATGTTTGTCTTCAGACTAGATAAGTATATTTTATAATATAATAATAAGTACAATTTATTTCCTACGTGCTATACTTAGCTTATGGGGCTAAAATTAAAAAAAAAATGTTTAGGTTTACTTGAGACATTTAGTTATCAAAATTAGTAGACATATGTAAATGACATAGCTTGTTTAATTTCACTTCTATGGAAAATATATTCTCCCCGAAGGAACATTTTAATTATTTATGAATATATAACATAGGATTGCAAAATAGGCAAATTGATTGGTTAAAAGCTATCATTATTTTCAACTAATTTTCTAACTCTGCTTCAAAATCGACTGCTAAAACCCATTTATCTCATGAAAAATTCATTGCAATGCTTCTAAATATAACTGTTTTTTTGGACATAGAATATTTAGCACTCCAAAACATTTAAAAATTGAAACATGATTTATCCCATTTCTTAGTATTTTAAAATTTCAATTATTTTTATATGTGTATGTTTACATATCTTTTGATGGTTATTGTTTTTGATTTATGTTTTATCCACTTTAACATCTGAAATATTTACTTAGTTTTGACAATATATATGCTAAATAGCTAACATTTCAATGATCAGAAGCTAAATWAAATGAAGCATTTGTTTAATATTTTTTAGTAAGCACTGCATTTACTTCTTACGGGGCTTAAAATAATGGTTGGTCATTGAACAGTGTCGCGCCAGAATTCAAAATTTTCAATTCTTTGCCTTGCTGATCATTTTGACCAATAATGCCAAACCAGAAATGGGTATGACCGAGCTAAAATTAACTTGGCTGGTGGTCATGACCAGCAACTTACGTACAGTCCATTATTTTAAGCCCGGTTTTTAGTTAACTCTCTGCCTTCAAATTCTGTTGTTTCTTCAGCCCTCATTTGGATATTAAATAATTATTATGGGAATAGATGTTACATAGATGGACTGGGGGAGAAAAGCAGGCTRGGTTCAAGTAATTTTTCATTTATTTATTCTCATTTAATTGTAAAAGTTCTCCTTTTCTGTTCATGTACTTAACATCACTTGTGAGTAGAGTTTGTTGTTTGTTGGGTCTCTCCCTTAAATCAAGTGCTTTTTCTCATGGTTTTTTCCCCTCCACTTGTAAAACTCAGCACACTAAATTCCAATTTGTTCTGTGTATTTGCCATAGCCTGACTTAGGTCAGCCAGAGGTTGTTTCATGGCTGGTTGAAATAGACTTTTTCATTATGCAGTTATATTAGATATGAGGACAAATTGAGTCCTTTGAAATAAATGTCTAATATTATGCATAAGATAGACCTAATTGCAAGAAGGTTGCTAACTTATATAAAAAAGCAAATTGCAAATTAGAATTTGTTARCAATATATACCCTTCTACCAATACTTAGCAGTAAAATAATAGCTCTCCTGAGCAATTTGTAATGCAGTGCCAGTGCCAAGATCAATATTTTGAACAAATTTCTCCTAATTTAGGATCTTAGCATTTCGCTAATTTGATTTAGACAACATTCTTGCAATTAGTTGTATAAGGAGTGGAAGGCAAGAGCAGTTACCCTCCATTTTTCAGGCGTTTTATAATCAAGCAACATACTGTAGAATATTTGATATTGATTACTCTACTCTAATGGTCATTTTTAAGATGATGCCCAAATACATGCCTTCCTTATTAGATAATAATATTTGCCCAGTCAAGGCATAGCCAGGGTAGAGTTGCAGCTCAGCATGCTGGGTTCTGGAATGTGTAGTTCCAGAAATCATCCATACCCACCCCACAGAGGAATTTGGAATTTCCGAAGAGTAGGGGGGTTAGAGAAAGAACAAAAATTACAGAGTTTGGAAGAAAATTGGAATTTCAGGGGGGTAGGGGGGTGTCTTAAAAAAATTCCTCTGTGAGGGGGGTATGGATAATTTTTGAAACTACACAATATTCCTTTTCTAAGGCTTTATTTACTACAAAAAGACACAACTATTCAACTCCCCCAGGCTGGCTTCATTAAGTTTGGAAATGATAGGCTGAAAAGGTCATGAACTATCCAGAGAGTCTTAGTTAACATTTTACAAAKTACTATGCCATAAATGGTAGTTTAAGCTGGCAGATTTTGCCTATTTACTGTAGCATTCTCCAGTCCCTGACCCTTAATAAAACCCCTGTCCCCTTCCGCCCTTTCCTTGTCCTTTATAAAGCCCACACCAGCCCTATGCTTGAAATCCAACCACCCTTTTACACTGAATTGTTGCTTGTTCTTTAAGACATGATAGTTTTGAGCTCACTTTACCAAAATAAGGAGTCTGCTACGCACTAATGTACTTTAAACTGTGTACACAAATGAGTGTTGTGTTGTTATTTTTTTTAATTGGGAAGTGTATAGTACTTACTTAAACCACATTAATATGAGCTACTTTAAGCCATAACTTCAAAATGCATTCCTATTTTTTGTCATCTTGATCGAATCAAAAGACCTAGTTATATATATATATAGCTAGCTATAGTATAGTATTTATGTAGAGCTATAGTACAGAATGATACAATAGCTGCATAATGTTTTCCCCCAGCAATATACTGCTCTAGACCATGTTTGACATTAATGTACTTAGCAATGACAATTGTGTTTGCACTGTGAGCAAATATTTAATTGAAGTTAAAACACCAAAGTTTACTTTTGAATGTTAGTTTGGTTGGTTGAATATGAATTAATGGAGTGCTCTTAACCTTTCAGATAACGACATATCTTGGCAAACGAGATTTTATAGATCATATTGAACATATCGACCCTGTTGGTAAGTACGGTGCAGTAAAACCAAATTCTACAGTGAAGCATGAATCCCAAATACATGTGTGACAAATATTAATGTATAAATTTGATGTATAACGATATATTTCTGGCAAAAGTTTGCTACAATCCAATTTGATCAGTTGCTAGCCGTACCCTGGCTTTGACCATCCAGTTACAAGTGGTTGTTTCAGTGTATCAATAAATTTAAAAAACGTTTTTGTAGAGTCAGACTACAGGAAAATTTTCATGTACTGTATATATTTTGYATATCTCAGTTAGGGAAATATATTGTCTTTGCAGATGGTGTTGTTCTTGTTGACCCAGAGTATGTCAAAGATGGCAAAAAAGGTAAATATTTGACACTGGATGTACATGTTATGGCCTGYGCCAGCCTGTTTGCTTTTTAATGTGCTTGTCAGCTGTCACTGGAATCTTTTTTTTACATATATTTATATCATATACTTCTTGTTTTTTTAACAGACATTCACTCCTAAAAAGTAAATGTGTTTTATACCAAAAAATTAAATTCAATGACCTTRGTCAACAAGGGCTTTTAGAAAAATGCCATTTTTGAGTAACATTGTACCGTAAATAATTTATAATGAAAAGGGTACTTTAATGAAATTAAAAAAAAATATATCATAATAATTTTGATTGGATCAGTTGCTAATATTATTCTTATACAAAACTAAGATATTTAGAAATAAAGCAGAGAAAAATTTGACTAACAAGGATTAATTTAATCATCCTATACTTGCGAATATTTGATGTCAAACTGAAAAGCCATTAAGTCGGGTTTACTTAATTAGGAACTTAAGTAGCAAAACACTATTAATTAAAGGATAACATCAAAAATTCACTGTTGCATGTTAATTAATTCCTCCTTTTGTTAATATTAATTTGCTGTCTAATGATTGCAMACCATATCAAGTTGAGTTGACTTCAAGAAGACAAAAGTTTGAAATCTCACTAAGAGAATTAAATTTACAAAAAAGTAGAAATGCCTTGTTTTAAAGAGGACATATTAGATAAAGCATGCAGGCTTGTTTCCAATCAGGACATCAATTCCTGACCAAATTGAAATTTGGAAGTTGGATTTTGTGGAGGAAGGAAAACAGGAGACCRGGAAAAACTTTCAAAACACAGGAGAGAACCAACAAACAACTCTACTCACATACATAAAACACCAAGCCTGACAGGAATTAAACCGGGTTGGCATTGGGGAGAAGTGTTACATTAGCAAAGCACACCAGCCATGCTTCCATCATTCCTTTCCTTGCCCTGTATATGTTCTGTATTTTTTGCTATCAAGCTATATTTTGTGCTATCATTCCTGTATGTGTTCTACACTGTATGTAAATGGCTGCCTTCATTMTTCATTATTTCTAGATGGATTATGACTTGATTTTGATGGATTATGACTTGACTTCAATACTCTTATCTAAGAGGCCAATGTACAGTATAGAGTTTATCACATATAAAAAGCTGTTTAGTTGATGGCATAGCTATTTTTAGGAGTTATGCAATATTATGATGAGCCCATACATACATAAAAAACCATCAAAAAAGTATCTGGTATTATTTGAATGATTTATTACTCACTAATAATCTGACTGGAGAAAAATTTTCTTRTAAAGCCTATGTTTGCAACCCAAAAGAGCATGTGCTATTTTGAAATACAATACTCACTGTATTTAGGTGTAATTTTGGTGGAATAAGTCTATTATAGTTGCAACATATAGTGAATCGTTTAATGAACAGAGGCCACAAAAACCACATACACTGATAATGGTTATCCATAATAATCAATATTCAAAGCAAAGCACATGTTCACATACATAACGGCGGCTTAAATCACCTTGGCTATATTGAAGGATGGATTAGCTGTGGTAAGGAGTTTAGACTGGCAAAATAATAGCCTTATTCCAGGAATTTTTAACAACCAGAATATTTTTTGTGGTGTGCTTTGAATGTTTCATGAAAGCGTTTCATTTGGATATTGTGTAGTTTTTTGACTTAATTATTACTGGTTCAAAGACACTTTACATTTGAACTTAGTTTATAATCATGTACCTAATGGCTACTAGACAAATGCTTCTGCGGTAAATCATTTWAAAAAACATTATTCAAGTGATGGCAGATCATAATGAGGGAAATGTCTAATTTTTTATATTAAAAAAAATCAATGACACACCCAAATTATTTGTTCTAATATATTTTGTCTTTGGTTACAGTGTATGCACATGTTTTGGCTGCATTCAGGTAAAAATGTATACATAAACATCATAGTTTACCTGTGGTACRCTTGATGAGTAAAACAAAGTAGACTGTACATGCATGCTGGGGTTGGCAAGACACGAAAGAAGTTTTAGGAGAAGCATGATGCATATTGGAGTGCTTCTTGACTTTTCTCCAGTGTTCTGCCAATCCCCAAGTGCTTCATAACTGCAAATTTTTATTTCTTTCATAAGATACAAATTACAATTTTAGATAGGAATGAGACAAATGAAAGTGTGTGCRCGTGCCGTGTGTCAGTCAGAATGTGAGATTTCTAACAGTTGTTATTTTATAATGTTCGATGGTCTAAAGCCATTTTGATATGAGGGGAATATTTTATAAAATAACTTTGAGGTGCATAATTGCCATCAAAGCAGGATGGTCACATCACTTTTAAAATATTATAATTATTTATACAGTAGTCTGATGCTTTGCTGTTTTTATCTGTTATACAAAAGCTGTTTTTGTTTCTAGCTACAGGGCTTCTAGGCTTCATTTTGTGGGTCAGGGTTGATTCTGTAGCCACCCCCCTTTGGAGCTGAAAACTAATAAGAATAAAGGATATGGTTTAACTTAAAAAGCCACTCTCATTTCAATCATTCTGGTCGACCAATGGTGTTCTAGAAGAGACATTGTATTTACCTGTTGACTATTCTGCTGCAAAATCATTATATTTATGCTGCAAATGATTTTAGATATGGAAGAGAAGACTTGGATGTACTTGGTCTTACATTCAGGAAGGATTTATTCTTGGTAAGTTTTACCTGGAATCGTCAACACTACATTATTTTTTCCTACAGTTTTAGCTGCCATTCACAGTCACACACAACTTAGTTGTACAGATGATTTTCTTGACATGATGGATTTAAATTTTTCGTAATAAGGTGTACAGTAATTAAATCGAATAGATAGCACTGTGTTTAATGATTTGAGTGGAAATAAGATAGATGGTTTGATAAGCAATTAGATTATTGAATGAAATTTAAAGATACAACTACTTGCAAGAACGTTGTTATACGAAAATAGAACATTAGTAATTTAGTGGGATAGGAATTATATTAAAAAACAAAAGAAGATCACTGAAGCTGAACCTTTTCTTTTGTTATTTAATGTATTCCTTTCTCACTAAATTACTAATGTTCTATTCTTGTATGACAAACTTCTTGCAAGTAGGTGTATATGAAATACATGAATTGTGTGATTGAAATTGCACGGAATGAGGTTAATTGATGAACTGAATGAGATGGATGACATTAGATGAAACAGAATACAGGGGCTGTGAAACACTCTAAAAGGGGGGGCTAAGATTGGAAAATATGAGAGACTAGTAGGGGAAAGGGGAAAAAGAGGGGGGGGCCTGTAGCCCCCCTGCCTAGCCCCCTCTGCGGCCCCTGGAATAGGATGGAACAGGATAGAATAGTGATGTAATAATGATGATGGTGATGATGATAATTTATCGGTAATCAAAGGAAATCCATTTATTCAGGCAACAGTCCAAGTTTATCCACCCAAACCAGAAGATCAAAAGCCGATGACAAGATTACAAGAGCGATTGCTCAAGAAGCTTGGTTCTAATGCTTATCCATTTAAATTTGACGTAAGGAAAATAAATTATATTGTCTTGCTTTTTTTTAGGATATAGATCTTATTAGACATCTTAGGGCAGAATACAGGTGGATATTTTTTGAGTCTGCTTCTCTACAAAATACGAAACAAGAAAAAATGTCCACTCATATTCAATCTTAAAATATCTAATAAGTTATATATTATCCAACTGAGCTTACTTTTTTACCTAAAATTAGGAAGGCTTCAAAAACATTTTTTCTTTGAGCTAGTTTTCAAAACCAGTGTTTTACTGAACAAGATAACCCCGAGTACGAATATTGCAGGATATTTCTACTTGCTCCAGGCTTTCTCCTGCTTTATTAGTACTCTGATTTAAATAGTTAGATAATAAAAGGTGTTCTCCAGTGTTCTATCTATAACTAAGGTGAATGATTGTTTGTTTCTTCAGCTTCCCCCAGGCTCACCCTCTTCTGTCACTCTACAACCAGCACCAGGAGACACAGGAAAGGTAGGGCAAACTTCACACTTAAGTGTTTCACTTAAGTGTTTAATAAGTGTTACCAAGTTTACACCAAGTGTTATAAGTGTACCTACTCGTGCGGAGAAGAGTAGTATATTTCTAATACCAAACCCAGTTTGTGAAGGGCCAGACTTGAATAWGTAGGAATCGTTTGTGGCGTCCTTTTATACATGGGATCCAACCTTTCTGTTTTGAATTGAACAGACTTTGGGAAGCCATGAAAAAAGTTGTTTATGAAGATCCATTGGCACATTGAACTAGCAGTCTTCTAGAGTAAAAAATAAATATTCCCTCTTGAACATAAATATCTAAGAAAACTGTTTGCTTTATCTACAGCCTTGTGGGGTTGATTATGAACTAAAGACTTACGTCTCGGAATCTGCGGAGGAGAAACCACACAAAAGGTAATGATATRATTAACAGTATACCCTGCCAGACCAGGGGATGGGTCTCAGGAAAGAGCTCAACCTAACCACTCTGCATGAGTGAACACAGACAGTTACACCTGCACCTGTGAACATCACCCCTCCACCCACCCTCTTCTCCCATGATATAGTGAACAGGTGTATACCATGTCGAACCTGGCCATGGGTCTCWGGAAAGAGCTCAACCTAACCCTGCATGGGTAAACTCAGTCAGTAACATCTTTGAACATCACCCCCACCCCCCACCACCACATACACAGACAAAGGACATAAATAAAGTGATAAAAGACCCCTGAAAAGCTGCATAACACTTATGCCAAAATCGTTAGTTTGCTTCAATTTTTTAAACATTGTTTCCTGATGATAGGGACACAGTTCGACTTGCAATACGTAAACTAACTTACGCACCAGAGAGACCACAGCCTCAGGTAAATATTTATTACTTGAGTTGTGTATTGCTTAATATTTACAGGGAATAACTAAGATAGCTATCTAGCTAGCTTGAATCTGAAGTAGAGTGACGGTAGTCTGATTTCTTCTCCTTAAACACCAAATGTATTCAACCGGCAAGAGCCAATTCCAGCTAAAGCAAGTAGATGACATAAATTGGGGAACTAAACAGTATAAACGCGAACTTAGCGGCACACAAMAAGTGTTGCTGTTTGCCATAGGGAGGGGCTAAAGCCAGCCTACCAAAAGTACTTATACAATTCATTAGCCTGCACTTAAACGGTMTTTTGCTTTAAAAACTAATTAATTTAATTAAATTACTTTATTAAATTAATATAGTGGTATTATCTGTATCTGCAAGAGATCAAAGTAATGTAATGATAATTTGAAATTGCCTGTCATTTTGCAGCCGTTTGCTGAAGCAGAGAAGGATTTTATGATGAGTTCATATCCTCTTCATGTAGAAGCAAGCTTAGACAAAGGAGTAAGTGATATGTCTTACCTAACATTCTGGTGCAGAACACGCCTCTTTATGTTTTACTTTTAAAGAAGACTCTCACTACTATAGGAAGTATTGAGGCGTACAAGTTATTGGTACTGTCTCCTCACTTCACAAAAAAAAAAAAAAATGAAATGACTGAACGGGGGTGCTTACCATTTAAAACAAACCATCCGGTTGGGAATTCATTCGCTAATGGTAAGAAAAGAGCGGGAAACTTTGACTTTCGAAAAATGGTACACGCGTCTACCAAAAGAACTGGATTACTTCAATCGCAAGACCAAGTTTTCTGATTGGAATGATGCATACCAATTGTTTTCCATATGGAATTTCCGGTTTTTAAGGGTAAATGGTAAGSACCCTAGATCTCTATGGTGACGTGGTATTGTGTCACATCGCATGTTGTCTGGGTTTTTACTTTTGTAAAACTAATCTATACCATATTGATGCCAATGAAGAGACTCATGTAATGCTTATGGTTTTCGTTTAGTTATACTACCATGGAGAAACTATAGCAGTGAATATTCACGTGTCTAATCGTTCATCCAAGACATGCAAGAAAGTTAAAATAACAGGTATTATTATATATGATTTGCTGTTCATTAACCTCATATTTAGTTCACGGAGGTTTTCGTAATGTGCCCGATGCAAAAACGAAGGCTTCTCGTGGTCATTTTAGAAGGAATATTGGACAGCCTTTAGACTATTGGACTTGCAATTGTCGAGATATTTACRATACTAAATATTTTGTTGTTGTTACAGTTCGACAGTTTGCAGACATATGTCTGTTTTCAACAGCTCAGTACAAATGTCCAGTAGCAGTGCTAGAATCTGAGTAAGTAGACATTGTGTCGTCCTTTCTCTTAATCCTGTGCATCAAGTAACCTCTTTCGCTTTGCAGGCAGTTTAGGGCCGTATTTTGTAAGTGTCTGGTTGTATTGATTACATGGGTGGATCCATGAAGATCTCAAAAAGTGTTCGTATGTTCACAACATTAGAACAACAGAATCAATGTTTTGCTGACCATCACGTGATGTAAGTCATAACATATTGGATGGAAAAAATTGGATCTCTTTACTGCATGAGGAAGTCAATTTTTCGTATAAAATGATTTCATTTTAAAAACTGTTACTGCCATTCAACATTGGTACTGTCTTATGTTCGTGCAAAATCTCTCASACACAGAACCTTACGAGGTTCTCAGTCTTTCCAGTAGCTCAGTGGTTGAAGCATCCGAYCGATATTCGGAAGGTCATCCTATCCTATTGTTTATGATTTTCTTTCAGCTAGAGACAAATAATCAATAATTCCTATACTGTCAGTCTTTCTTTTGCAAAAATCAATGACATTGAATCAACTGCTACGCTTTGCTTTGTCATTTATAAATGCACTTTTTTACAATAACTTACAAATTTCTCGCGCGCTGATTGGTTATTTTTTATCATCAATAAGAGGACAGTCAGATAAAGCTGACGTCAACGAGCGCCCGCTCTTTCCGTTGGTCGTTTTGATCGCTAAATATGAAACGTTTTGACCGTTTTTATCATTTATAAATGTACTTTTTGATGTGGCTTTATTGTGCTCTAGGGATGGTTTCCCAGTTGGTCAGAGTGGTACTCTATCCAAAGTTTATTGCCTGACTCCTCTTCTAGATGATAACAGAGTAAGTATGTCTTTAGTGGTATCACAATAAATTGTCAATAAACGATAGTAACAAAAAGTCATTCCAGTTAAATGTTTTTCTGTGGCTAACTCGCCCTTTGGATCTTTTTGGGAAATTGACAATAGTTTTTCTAGTATCACAATTACATCACGCATATTAACACGTAATGATAAACATAATTTGGTACGAGCTAACTGAAGTAACCATGAAAATGACCATAAAATGACTTAAGGCACGATTACGTGGAGCAATTTTCTCTGTAACTTGTCTCACAACACGTCAGTTGCGGCACAAGCTGCAAGAGTGCTTACACAGTGCAAGGGAGACGCAATCGTTGCCAAAAGTAGAAACGAATTGTACTTTTCGCAACGATCGCTGCCACTTGTCTCACGGCATTTTTCAAATTGCGCTGTAGGTTACACGCTGCAATGCTCCATGCCGTTGCGAGATACGTTCCAGAGAAAATGCTACGTGCAGTTCGCTGGTCGTAAACAAAAGCAAAGTAAAGAAGAGAAAATTACGATGAAAAAAGATTTGATGACAATTTAGGAAAGAATGATTGAATTTGATCAATTTTCGAATTTCTTTGCAGGACAAGAGAGGACTTGCATTGGATGGCAAACTTAAACATGAAGACACAAACCTAGCCTCATCGACCACGTGCGTATATTCTGCATATCATTCAGTAGTATAGACTTCCAGTCATTACCTTGGACGAAGTGTTTTTCCATTTTAGACCATGTGTCATTCTCTTCAGAATAAGATTCTTTACTTGAGTTGTATCCATATTCATTTGTCTTCTGATGTGCAAGCGTTAAACAAAGGCATGATACTCTAGGGAATGACACGTAGTCTGTAATAGTAAAGGGTTATGCCCAAGGTAAAGATGCCAATAAAGCTCTTTCATTCCCTATTTATATATCTTGTTATTTATTAATGTATGAAGAGTGGGGTGGGTTATCACTTGATGCATCGCTACTGTATCATATACCTCGTATCCTCTTCTACCCTGTGTTTCAGAGGCTCGAGGAGGAATGGGGCAACCCCCCCTTACCCCATATATGCATCGCTACGGTATCATATACCTCCTGCTATCCCCTTCTACCCTTTGTTCCCCAGAGGCTCAAGGAGGAATGGGGCACCCAGGGTAATCTTCTTCATCAGCCTTCGCACACTTCCTTTTAACCCTCTCATATACTTGGTRTTTTTCTACAATACAAAGTCTCTAGTAAGATACTTTGACATATGTTTTCTACACAGACTTGACCCTAATATACCAAAAGAGAATCTTGGTATCATAGTACAATACAAAGTCAAAGTGCGCATTATCGTGGCGTATGGAGGGTACGTATTGGCAAAAGCTAGACTTCATTTATTTAGTATTTGTTTAGTTACAAATTCGTCAAAGCAAATGAGAAATATAAGAGAACAAAATGTTATAGCCTTTCGAGGCTGTCAAATCTAAGCCATCAACAATAAAATACGACAAACCAACACCCAAGTCAAAGATATTGTTTGATATTTTATTGTCTTTTTTAAATGATATTTCTTGATTGGTATTCCTGCAGGGACTTGACATTGGAATTACCATTTATGCTTACGCATCCCAAGCCTATTGAAGAACCTACCCCACCACCCACACCATCCAAACCTCCAAACGAACAAGCTGCTGCCGGTACGTATTCTCTTGTATTTGATTTAATAAAGTGGTTTTCGTATGACTGTGAAACATCAAGGCACTCTGATATCTTGCGCTACGGAATTACAGTGCTTTCCAATTACTTGCGCAATAGCATACAATTTGCCGTCTTGATAAAATAGGCTTTTGGCGCAAATCTTTCCATGACATTGTCGGGAAACACAAAGCTTTCAAGGGCACGTGCCTATGGAATGTCATGAAAACGGCTTGATTGACGTCCRCCAAAACCTACTTCCTGGCGAAGACGATTCCGCGCGTGTGATTGAGAAGCTCAGTAATGGCATCACCTACAGCACGCGATAATATTGCTAATCCACTAGAGTAATAGTGCTGGAACACGGCACATTTACGCTCGCGGCATTACACGGCACAGATCTACTGTGAAGTTATTCGAAACTTTCTCTTTGTGTGGTATATATTAATCGAAGCATTTTTTGCCCATAGGTGGAGAAAATTCTGAAGCATCCGCGGCAATTGATCATAACTTGATAGACTTTGATACAGAGTAAGTCGTTATTCTTGGAATGCATACACGTATGACGTCATAGCCATCTTGTTGGTTGAGTTTAACGAAAGATTTGGTCTTTTTTGATATATCAGCCAACTTGGCGGCCATGTCCTTTTTATTCTCATGAAGGGAAGCGACGTATGGAAAAGTCTATGTCGCCCTACCCATACTATCTACTGTCATTTCTGATTATGTTTTTCTCTTCTTTTTTTAGCGGTCCAGACAAACACGATAAGGATGATTTGATTTTCGAAGATTTTGCGCGTCTGAGACTAAAGGGGACTGATCTTACCGAGTCAGCAGATGCGTAAACCCAAGATTACCGCTGACTGATCGTTTTGAGTGATCGTTYTTTTCACGCTAGCTATGCACGTAAATACATGAGGTGTTTTGCCGGAATTAGTGTCTGCGAGTAACGACTGGCAATTAATCAACGATGGTTTTTTTAAATTTTACAGTTATTGTAAGAGGTTAAATTTTTCGTTTAGGAGTAAGAAAAGGAAACTTCATTTGCATCTGGTAGTGTTGAAATCGACGACTATGTTAACTCATTCAGCTAATTTTAACCCTTGTATTATGTAACACTAGCTCTCTATTCYACAGTTCGAGAAGATAAGTGTCGTTTCATAAGTATGTTTGCTTCGTGACCATAATGACCTTGTTAGAAAAGTACCAAGCGTTTCAGCATGCACAAAGATGGTATGTAGAATAATTACCCAGGAGATCAGAATGACTCGAGTCGTCAGTTATTGGACGATAAAAAGGTTACCAGTTCGTACATTTTTTTTGATTTAGTTAACAACCTAAACTTTCGTCATCACTCGACCCATACAGCCACCAACAGCTCTAGACAACTATACAAGTATCTCTATCTGACAAGTCTAAGTTGGTAGTTCGCTTGAATACATCTCTACCAAACTCCTGAAGTTAGGTCTAAAGTAACATTTAGTCATTGCGGTTCAATTCTAAGTTCATATATAAAAACAAGCTATCAAAGTTAAAAGTATTTCACGAGACTTTATTCTATATAAAGCTTTGTCATTACAAGTTTTAAGATTATAAGTATGATAATCCTATTGAATACCAGTCGTGTGATTCCCGTGCAGTGAKCCAAGAAATGAATTGCAGTGTCTGAAGTTGCAGAAGTAGATGTTTTAGGACCTCCAGGGCGCTTAGCTACTTTGCCTTTTGAATTTAACGCTTTTTCTTTGGTTCAAATCCTTTCGTCCGTCATTTTTGTACTCCATTCAGGTGCAAAGTGCTTACCGATGCCCCTTCCTAGCAGTAAAGTTTTTCGCATTTCAATTTCCTCTAAGGGAAGATAAGAATGGGCGTAATGTTTGCCTATATCAGACCACGTGTCATTCCCTTGAGTATTATTTCTTTGTTTGATACGACTCAAACAAAGAATCTTAATCTCAAGAGAATGACAGGTGCTCTGAAATGAAAAAAACATTATGCCCAAGCTAAAAAAGGTCTATTACACTACTGGCGCAAAAATAAGTGCAGTGATTGAAACATCCATAGAAGCGAAATTCTCGTGCCAGGAGGCCTAAAACGTCTGCAATCTGCTATTCTCATGAATCTCATGACCATCCTCATACCTTTAAAAATATTAAAATTCTAAAATGATTTAAGAAGTTAATTAATATTGTTCTAAATTATAAATCGTTATTCATATAGAAATAATTTTAGATTCGATAACAGATAAACACTCRGGTCTGTGCAAGTAAACTGTTAAAAATAGTTTAACCTGCAGTTGAAAAAGCTCTTCTTACGTTCAGTTTCAATGTGAGGCATTGGAACTTACCGGCGTTTGCATTGCTACGCGGCCACCCCAGACACAAATTGCGACGTGCACTTTGCAATAGACTGCCGTCGATCAAACACGTTGACGCCATTTACACGCGTGTGATTCAAAAGGCGTCAAAACTTCGGTCGATTGTTTACAACTATTATGAGACACACTCACCGGGCCTATCCGGGCCGATCCAAACGCGTGTAAATGACGTCAACTTGTTTGATTGACGGCAGTCTATTGCAAAGTGCACGTCGTGATTTGTGTCTRGGGTGGCCGCGTAACAATGTAAACGCCGGTAACACAGTCGACCAAAAAAAACACTTCACCGAAAAACATTGAAAAAAGCATTCATGTATTTCACGACAAACAGAATCGATGTCAGTTCTGTTAGTTAAGCTTTTGTTGAGCTAAGGTGGAGCTTTACCCAAGTATTGTATTAGGTCTGTCCGCGTACAAAAACGGTAATTAACTTACATGGATGCTAAATGTGAAGGGAGCTATTCAGGTGCCAGTATCAATACAGTATACCATTTAAAAAAGCAAACTAATTCCTCTTAGTAACAAAGAGTAATATGGATGAGTATAATAATAAATGAAGTATTGTTTGAAGAAAAAGGGTTGTTTAAATTAGCGGAAACAGATTTGCAATTTGAGGAAGAAATGAAGGTTAGGTCGTCCCAACATATTACCCTTCTTCTCCCTCAGTAGGACATGGTGCATTAAGTAATGGTGAGGTTGTTAATGTCATCCTTCTTCCTGAGGTGGTTCATTAATGCCATCCTTCTCCCTGAGGTGGTTCATTAATGCCATCCTTCTCCCTGAGGTGGTTCATT